TTTAATAAATCAACCCCAATGTCCAGAACACATGGAGTGTGAGTTAAAGACAGGTAGTGTTCATATGAGCTACTTTTTGCTAAAAGCAGCACATAGCTGCATTCACACACCTTCACCCATTTATATCTATTGGTGGCTGTAAGCAGCTCAAAGACACCCTGGGCACCAGAAAAAGTCAGTCTATTTACACTGCAAGGGCAAAGGCACCTATGAACAATACAAACAGATGGCAACCTCCCCAACCCATAACTAGCCTTTGCAGCAAGGAGCACATGGAAGGGTAACACACATAAAAAACAAAAATCCCCAGATCACTTACCAGCCAGCCTGCAACAAAATAGAATTGACCCTGTCTAACAATTCACGTTAAAAAAAAGGGGGGGTCTGCATACATTTGCAAATATATGTGTAAGCTGCAATGGCTGCATCAAGGCACCACAGTGTACTAAATCACATGAAAATGCAGATAAATACATAAATAAAATAAAAAATATATTTATAAATGTTCATAATTCGTATATAAGTCCAAACACCAATATAAAGTGATTGCCGGCCCATTAAAGACGTCGGATAACGAAACGCGTAGGGCCGGGCTTAGTGGATGGGACGTCAGGACGCTCCTTGAGAGTGTCGGCTGTGATCGCGGTGAGCGAGCCTCATCCCTGCTTTAGCTTTTTGAGACTGATATTGCAGGTGTCGGTTGGACACCTTTCTTGTGAGTGCATATTTAAGGCTACAATAAAAATGATCTTTGTTTTAATATACTGCACCATGATACTCTTCTTTGATTCCCTGAGCATTTCCAAAGTTATGAAGGCATGATGACCACTTGCAGTTAAGGCTGTTCCATGTGTGCTGATTTGGCTGATTGCAGTCTATTGCTCCTGGATACTCCAACAGATCATCGCTTCCAGAGCAATTGCTATTTTTGCTGATTTATAATTTGATCAGCAAATAGCTCTGGTGAGTTTACCCATTTCATTCGGTGGTGGATTTTGCTACGCAGTGTTTTTTCTTGTTTAAGAGATTTTTTAATCACTTATATTGGTGTTTGGACTTATATATGAATTACAGACATTTATAAATAAATTTTTTATTTTATTTATGTATTTATCTGAATTTTCATGTGATTTGGTATTTAGCGCATTCCTTCATATATTTTTTGTCACTTACTTTTTCTTTGGTTAGGTTTGCAGCTTTATATATAATTTATTGGCGCTGTGTCTATATATTTTACACCACAGTGTACTGCAGTTCAAACAGGGTCAGTTCGGTTTTGTTGCAGGTAAGTGAGCTGGGAATTTTTTTTTGCCCATGTGTATGAAGCAGCATCATCTTGTTTGGCAGTTATGTAGGTTTATTCTTAGCAAAAATTGAATCTTCATTTGTTAGATTAAAGGAAACTTGTCAGGAAGGCTACAAACTGTTGTAGATAAGTCCAGCATTACGCAAAGCGACTTGTCTGTCCCAACACTACTTCCATGAATCTGGCAATAGCTGACTTCATTTCTTTATGGGACTCTTGTCTGGACCAGATAACAGCTGTCCTAAGGTTTCCTTTAAAGTGTTACTAAACCCACATCAGTAAAATCAGTCTGTATATGCAGTAAATCATGCTCGGTATACTCACTGTGGAAGGGTTTAATCCTCCACATTGTGTAAAAAGGCTGTTTGATCCTGTCTTATCTGAGCCTTCCCTTCTTCCACAGTCCATCTGCTCATACCACAGAGCTCTAGGAGACACTCTGTGCATGCTCAGTTTATTGTGTATTGCTAAAGTGTTTTTTTTTTTGGGAGAGTGCATGTGATCGCGACAGGGCCAATCAGCACTGTCTAAACAGAGGGTCAGGGGTCATGAAGCCTCATAGGATAGTCAGAGGAGAATGAAAACTCCTCCTACAAGCTTTAATCCTGTGCTCTGCTGGACACTTATAGAAGTCTGCTCTAACTGTTGGTGAGAAAAGGTATTTAGCAGTTTATATTTACTAAAATGATTGCATTTCCATGTTCTGTGTACTGTGGGAGACCAGTGGATGCAGGGTCCTGGGTTTAGTAACACTTTTTTTCTTTATTCCATAGAGTACAGCTGTTGTTATGCCACGGCGGGTGGGCAGAACAGCCAACCCTTTCATGGTATGGCCAGATTACAGGGGCTAAAGAGTGTATTGTGCCATATTGCCTCATTATCATGCCCACCAGCCAATTTACTGGGACACATGTTCCAGTATCAACTTCCTTTGTAGCTCTCATTATTTGGTCACATGATATCTCAACGACAGAAGGAAATTAGGTGCTGGAAGACTTGCTTCTGTCAGGTGCAGCTATCACTGGTCTAAACAGGGGGCAGGTAGCTATATAATGCCCAGCATGTGTCACTGAATAGAAATCCTTCTCCAACTGATGTCTGAATGGTATTACATAGTATTACATAGTTAGTCTGGCTGAAAAAAGACAAAAGTCTATCCAGTTCAACCATTAAAAAAAAACCGTATAATTCTATACCCACAGTTGATCCAGAGGAAGGCAAAAAAAAAACCCCCTGCAAAGCATGATCCAATGTGCTCCTGCAGGGAAAAAATTCCTTCCTGATCCCCAGAAAGGCAATCGGATATTCCCTGGATCAACGTTACCTATAAATGTTAGTATCCAGTTATATTCTGTGTGTCTAAGAAAGAATCCAGGACTTTTTTTTAAAGCAATAAGAATGGTGAAGTATCTCCACTGATTCCCACTATCCCAGCATATCTTTTTGGTACTATGCTAGGGGTCAAATGTCCCCCAACCCAGTCCTCTTCTAGTTTTAATGACCACCATATGGCAGTAACAGTTACAGATACCCAATGATGCAAGCCTTGTGAATTAGGATGTAGAGCTAAAGGGGCAAGTGGTTATTTGGCTGTGGGGCCCAAAAATGTAGAGCAAAGTGACTGTGGGGGTTTCATGCTGGGAACGTGGGACTGTAAGGTCTACAGGCACAGTGACTGGTATACTAATGATCAAGCATTTAAGAATATAGTAGAGCTATACCAATGAGTAGAAATGAATTAGGCCACTTTCTAAAAAAAAAAAAAAAAGCGTAAGCTGTATCAATAACACACACAGATAACATTTAACAATGTATACAAGCAAAGCAGAGATGTGAAGCAATGGCTACATCATAGCATTAGGTCTCCAGTGGCCCCTGTCCAATTTGCTGCACTAGATGTAAGATTAGTAATCACTTCAACAACGTAGAAAATATGGGCTTATTTAAACCGTTCCTAGACAGCTGATTCTGTCCCAGCACATATTCTCTGTGACAAAAATGACTGAAACAGCGTTAATTGACCAAGAACTAGCATACCAAGCAATCTGTAACGATCTGGGGTTTGAAAACCACTTAGCTGTGAAATGTCAGGTGGCTCAGCAGTAAATTAGTCATTTGAACTAGTTAAACAGCACACACTATGCAAGGGACATACACAGCTAGCATCTGCCACATTTTAATGCAAGAAAAAGTCTAAATACAAACTTATACTTTTAACTCAAAACCAACTGGCAGGTTCATGTACCCGCATATGGGAAATGGCTAAACCTTCCAGTTGATTTATAGCAGCTTCCGTAGCCATTGGGAAGATATTCTTTCCCTTCCTGTTTGGTCACCAAGACAGGAAGTGAACAAAATTTCTTTAAAAAAAAGGTAGTCAGTGATAAAAACACATTTTATGAAGCAGAGTGAAGAATAGTGAGAATGTCCATTATGTTTTTACTGCCGTCTTTGTCCCATTGGGGACATCTCCACGCTTTCTGTGCGGTCATCAGGACCGGAAGTCAAATCGTCCCAATAAGGGTAAAAAATACAATTAAGGTCCTATCTGCTTTTGCACTGTAACCAAAAAGCTGTTTTTGATGGCGTTCAATTTTTTTTTTTGGGCCAATGACCAGTGCTTACTGGCATATATAGAGCAGGGAGGACCTCTTTATAGATGAACATGATGGTTATCCTGGAAGGGCTTATCCTGTTCCCCTAGAATTCATGAAGGCATGAGGTAGGCAAGGTCTCATTGTTGAAATAGCAGAAGAAATTGTAGTTATGGCCTACATCTGCTGGTCATGTGATAAATAACTGGGCACTGTCCATGTGGTCTCCACTGAATAGGGGTGGGGGTTGTCCTTATGGCAGGGATAGCAAGTTTAAAGCTATGAATAAATATGGATCCTCTCCTTTTGCACAAACCACACATTAAATGCTACTTCCTGAGTTCAAATACACTTATTCCCAAGGCACATGTTCCTGAAAAATGTCTGTAGGTCTACGTGGGCGCTATAGTGACCACTAGCTGGTAACTGAAGATACTCAAAGCGAGAAGTATGTCACCAGCACGCCAAGGATTTTCAGAACGGGTCCAAATCTTTATTCTGCGATCACACTAAAATTATAGAGGCAATGTTTCGGAGCCACGTAGGACCCCTACATCAGGCATGCTTCTGCCTGATGTAAATAAAATGCAATAACTAGAGATGAGCGAATCGAACATGGCGAAGTGGAATTCGTTTCGAAGATCAGGAAAAATTCGATTCGCGCCGAATCCGAAAATTAGCAAACTTCGGATGCACGAATCGAATTTTCCCAAAAATGGCGGCGACATGTGTGGCGACGGAGCGGGGATCTCTGGGAAGGCGCGCAGACAAGGCGCTCTAACCCATAATGCATTCATTCATGACATGTGATCGCATTAGCCAATCAGCAGCCAGCCAGCCAGCACTGTGTAATGGTGGAGCTATAAATTGCGGCCATCTTACAATTCTCCATTAGCCTCCGGTCATTCAAGAGAGACAGACCTGTCTGTATTAGGGACAGAGTTAGGGCCAGAGAGACTTTAGGGCCACAGAATCGTTACTTAGGGACACAGAATCGTTACTCAGGGACACAGAATTGTTACTCAGGGACACAGAATTGTTACTCAGGGACACAGATTCGTTACTCAGGGACAGACACAGAATTGTTACTGAGGGACACAGAATCGTTACTCAGGGACACAGAATCGTTACTCAGGGACACAGAATTGTTACTCAGGGACACAGAATCGTTACTCAGGGACACAGAATTGTTACTCAGGGACAGACACAGAATTGTTACTCAGGGACACAGAATTGTTACTCAGGGACACAGAATCGTTACTCAGGGACACAGAATCGTTACTCAGGGACACAGAATTGTTACTCAGGGACACAGAATTGTTACTCAGGGACACAGAATTGTTACTGAGGGACACAGAATCGTTACTCAGGGACACAGAATTGTTACTCAGGGACACAGAATCGTTACTCAGGGACACAGAATCGTTACTCAGGGACACAGAATTGTACCTCAGGGACACAGAATTGTTACTGAGGGACACAGAATCGTTACTGAGGGACACAGAATTGTTACTCAGGGACACAGAATTGTTACTCAGGGACAGACACAGAATTGTTACTCAGGGACACAGAATTGTTACTCAGGGACACAGAATTGTTACTGAGGGACACAGAATCGTTACTGAGGGACACAGAATTGTTACTCAGGGACACAGAATTGTTACTCAGGGACACAGAATTGTTACTCAGGGACAGACACAGAATTGTTACTGAGGGACACAGAATTGTTACTCAGGGACACAGAATTGTTACTGAGGGACACAGAATCGTTACTGAGGGACACAGAATCGTTACTCAGGGACACAGAATCGTTACTCGGGGACACAGAATCGTTACTCGGGGACACAGAATCGTTACTCAGGGACACAGAATTGTTACTGAGGGACACAGAATTGTTACTCAGGGACACAGAATCATTACTCAGGGACACAGAATCGTTACTGAGGGACACAGAATCGTTACTGAGGGACACAGAATTGTTACTCAGGGACACAGAATTGTTACTCAGGGACACAGAATCGTTACTGAGGGACACAGAATCGTTAATGAGGGACACATAATTGTTACTGAGGGACACAGAATTGTTACTCAGGGACACAGAATCGTTACTCAGGGACACAGAATCGTTACTCAGGGACACAGAATTGTTACTCAGGGACACAGAATCGTTACTGAGGGACACAGAATCGTTACTGAGGGACACAGAATCGTTACTGAGGGACACGGAATTGTTACTCAGGGACACAGAATTGTTACTCAGGGACACAGAATCGTTACTCAGGGACACAGAATCGTTGAATTAAAGAGTATGTCAGACAACACGCAGAGGAGGCAATGTTTCAGGAGCGAGCAGACGTGGCAGCAGAGGAAGGGGTCGAGGCAGCACTAGTCGCAGCCAGAGGCCAGTGCTCCCGGTGTCATCCAGCGGTGTGTCACCACCGACAACCCTGCCGTCATCGATAGGTTGGCTCGGTCGTCTTCCTCTTCCCAGGTCACCTCTGACACCTACAGCCAACGGTCGGTGGGTACGTCAGACACAACCGTTAGTTGGCATGGCCCGGGAGCAAGCCCACTGAAATCACGTGTCCTCTACCTGCCCCTGTCCTTTGGTGTTCCCTCACAAGCGAAGTATCGCATGCTGTGGGCTCAGCCCCACTGTACAGTGAGGAAGAGCTAACAGAGGGCGGTCAGGAACGGGGGGAGACATCCGCCTCTTCAGCAGCCAGGCGAAGAAGTACTGGCGAGGAGAGTGGCTCGGTAGCCGGTCTAGAGACAGGTCTGTCTCCTGACCCACACGCAGCCGAGGGGGCTAGTAGTGAGGCGGAGACCCTAATTGATGATGATGAGGGCTGATCGCACTTGGCAGCCTCGTCGTCATCTGTCAGGCCCGTAATCTGCCATGGGCCCCCGTACCGACTCCTCATGCTGCTGCCAGGCCCATAATCTGTCATGGGCCCCTGTACCGCCTCCTCACGCTGCTGCCAGGTCCAGAGTGTGTCATGGGTCCCTGTACGGCCTCCCATTGCTGCTGTCTCCATCGCCACACTCTGCCATGTGCCACTTTCAGGTCTCCTCACACTGCTGGTGGGTTCCATTTTGTCATAGGGTGCTGGCAGATTACGGGCCTCCCATTGCTGCTGCCAGGCCCGTAATCTGCCATGGGCCCCCGTACCAACTCCTCATGCTGCTGCCAGGCCCGTAATCTGTCATGGGCCCCTGTACCGCCTCCTCATGCTGCTGCCAGGTCCAGAGTGTGTCATGGGTCCCTGTACGGCCTCCCATTGCTGCTGTCTCCATCGCCACACTCTGCCATGTGCCACTTTCAGGTCTCCTCACACTGCTGGTGGGTTCCATTTTGTCATAGGGTGCTGGCAGATTACGGGCCTCCCATTGCTGCTGCCAGGCCCGTAATCTGCCATGGGCCCCCGTACCGACTCCTCATGCTGCTGCCAGGCCCGTAATCTGTCATGGGCCCCTGTACCGCCTCCTCATGCTGCTGCCAGGTCCAGAGTGTGTCATGGGTCCCTGTACGGCCTCCCATTGCTGCTGTCTCCATTGCCACACTCTGCCATGTGCCACTTTCAGATCTCCTCACACTGCTGGTGGGTTCCATTTTGTCATAGGGTGCTGGCAGATTACGGGCCTCCCATTGCTGCTGCCAGGCCCGTAATCTGCCATGGGCCCCCGTACCGACTCCTCATGCTGCTTCCAGGCCCGTAATCTGTCATGGGCCCCTGTACCGCCTCCTCATGCTGCTGCCAGGTCCAGAGTGTGTCATGGGTCCCTGTACGGCCTCCCATTGCTGCTGCCAGGCCCTTAATCTGCCATGGGCCCCCGTACCGACTCCTCATGCTGCTGCCAGGCCCGTAATCTGTCATGGGCCCCTGTACCGCCTCCTCATGCTGCTGCCAGGTCCAGAGTGTGTCATGGGTCCCTGTACGGCCTCCCATTGCTGCTGTCTCCATCGCCACACTCTGCCATGTGCCACTTTCAGGTCTCCTCACACTGCTGGTGGGTTCCATTTTGTCATAGGGTGCTGTATGGCCTCCCATTGCTGCTGCCAGGCTCGTAATCTGCCATGGGCCCCCGTACCGACTCCTCATGCTGCTGCCAGGTCCAGAGTGTGCCATGGGTCCCTGTACGGCCTCCCATTGCTGCTGTCTCCATCGCCACACTCTGCCATGTGCCACTTTCAGGTCTCCTCACACTGCTGGTGGGTTCCATTTTTTCATAGGGTGCTGTATGGCTCCCATTGCTGCTGCCTCCACCGCCACACTGTGGCTCCACACTCTGGTTTTGGCCCCGTGACTGCCCAAATGAGTGAAGTGTGCGGTGATTCTAAGATCGACGGCACTCATCTGCATGTCATACTGACTGACAGTATTATTTCTCTTCCCCAGCAGACTCCAAGGGCATTTAAATTAAAGGTACAGTGTTCTGCACTAATATAAAGGCTCTCTGAAGCCTAGAAACACCCTTTTTATAAGTTAAATTCGCAGCGAATATATTCGACTCGAATTTTTATTCCGCGAATTCGCCGAATCAGCCGAATCGAATTTTTGAATAATTCGCTCATCTCTAGCAATAACCACCGGTGCCAATAAATAAATAACAAATACTTCTTGTTTGCAGCTGCCACCTCTTATCCCAAAGGATGTGAATGAATATGTGCTACTGATGGCACTGGCTTCCTACCATCAGTAATATTTAAATGAGCTCTATACCCAAATGTGCTCATAAAAACATTATGCCTCAAATAAATAAGTACAAATAGTTATAATACAAATCCACATATAATATATGAGTGCAGAGTCGCAAATCATTGCTGTTCCATAAACTCCAACACAATGTAGGTAAACAAGAAGTCCTTATAAAGTGAATAAAGTGCTCTTATCCACTGTTCCCACTGCTGAGTGATCCATCATCAATGATCAGAAACACTTCTCACTCACCACAGATGCCACTTACCTCCTTGTTGTACAAGAAAAGTCATATAGTGCTTTGTGGTCACCCCAGGAGCTGCTTGCTCGACACCTCTCTCTGTAGTCACCTTCTCATCAAATGGTCAGACAGTATTCCATTGGCATTTAAATGGCGTGTGATTCAAAAAAAGAAGAGAGATCCTCTCATAGTGTAAAACCGTATAGTGGTTTTACGTAAAATGTTTGTATCCATAAATAAACGTTAGGCAATCCTATACAGTGGGGAAAATTATTATTTGATCACTTGCAGATTTTGTAAGTTTGCCAATTTGCAAAGAAATTAAGGGTCTGTAATTTTTATCATAGGTGTATTTTAAATGACAGAGACAGAATATCAACCAAAAACCCAGAAGAAAACTCATGATACAAATTTTAATTTGATAAATTGAGTTGTAGTTCAGTGAGTAAAATAGGTATTTGATCCCCAAGCAAAACTTGACTTACTGTAGTATTTGGTGGAGAAACACTTGTTGGGAAGCACAGCGGTAAGACGTTTCTTGTAGTTGGGTACCAAGTTTGCACACACCTCAGGAGGGATTTTGGTCCACTTTTCTTAACGGATCTTCTCTAAATCCTTAAGCTTTCGTGGCAGTTGCTTGGCAATTTGAAGTTTCAGCTCCCTCCATTCATTTTCTATAGCATTAAAGTCTGGAGGCTGGCTAGGTCTAAGAAGACCTCAGTACATGTTGGAAGGAGAAGACTGGCACATGCGCATACTTACAGTATGTGCATGCTCATAATTTTGAACAAAATCTCAATACAAAACAGGCATTGTCACACTCATGCAAAAGTATTAGCGTGTGCAGAAAACAATTGCACATGTGCACGTGCACGCACACACGTATGAGCACTGGTGCCAAACAATCTATTTAAGCTGCACTCTGACATGGGTGGATTGCTGAGTGGTCTTCAGCTAGTTCCTGCTTTACCTGAGCCTTGACCTGCTATACTTGCTTACCTGTGCATGACTTGCCCTTGACCTGTCCCTTGATTTCTGCCTGCCTTCTGTGACTTCGGCTTGTATTCTGACTCTGCTCCTGTTTTGCATTCCTGTATCTCGTTGCCCAGCTGTGTACTGATTCTGGTTGATGACCTTTTGGGTTGTGTCTTGGCTACACTCCTGTCTGCCAAGCAAGTGTCACTGTGTTGCAGTTCCTGGTTCCTACCTGGTGATCTACGGTCATCTGCTTCCTACAAACCCCAGCTGGCACTACCTGCTACACCGGCCCTTGTGCCACTCTGTGTTCCCACACTCCCTGTCATCACTACCAGGGGTGTTGGACAAAAGGTGCAAGAGAAGCCCCCTCTCTAGCTCGATCTCCACCAGGTACGTGACACTAGGCAACTCCATGACCTAAATGTGCTTCTTCTTGAGCCACTCTTTGTTGCCTTGGCAGTGTGTTTTGGGTCATTGTGATGCTGGAAGACCCATCCATAACTCATCTTCAGTGTTCCGGCTGAGGGAGAAGGTTCTCATCCAAGATTTTACAATACATGGTCCCGTCCATTGGCCCCTCAATACAGCAAAGTCAACCTGTACCTTTAGCAGAGAAACAGCCCAAAGCATAATGTTTCCACCTCCGTGCTTGACTGTAAAGATGGTGTTCTTAGTGTTATAGTCAGCATTTTTCTTCCTCCAAACACGGTGAGTCGAGTTAATGCCCAAGAGCTCAGTTTTGGTCTCATCTGACCACAGCACTTTCTCCCAATCTTTCTATGAATCATTTAGATGTTCATTCAGATGGGCTTATACATCTGCCTTCTTGAGGAGGTGTGACCAATGGTTTGGTGACTGTGGTCCCAACTGCCTTGAGATCATTCACAAGCTCCTACTGTGTAGTTCTGGGCTGAATCCTCACTTTTCTCGGGATCATCCTTACCCCATGAGGCGAAATCTTGCATGGAGCTCTAGACTGAGGGCAATTGATGGTTACTTTGTATTTCTTCCATTTGTGAATAATCAATCCAACAGTTGTATCTTTCTCACCAAAGTTCTTGCTGATAGTCTTGTAGCCCATTCCAGCCTTGTGCAGGTCTACAGTCTTGTTCCTGATGTCCTTTGGCAGCTCTTTGCCCATGATGGTAAGGTTTGAATTGAAAAAAAAGATTCTGCAGACAGGTATCTTTTATACTCATAAAGAGTTGTTGTTATGAGCACCTTCTTAAATTGACAGGACTAATCTATGTACAACATGAGCACATCAGCCAGAATTATTGTCGGTTCGTAGGGGATCAAATATTTATTTTACTCACTGAACTGCAACTCAATTTATAAAATTTGTATCATGTGTTTTTTCTGTGTTTTATCATACACTTATGATAAAAATTATAGACCTTTCATTTCTTTGTAAGTGGGCAAACGTACAAAATCTGCAAGGGATCAAATTATTATTTTCCCCACTGTATAGGATTGCCTAACTTTTATTTATTTATAGGCACATACATAACCAGCCTTCTGATCACACAAGAGCCGCAGATCGCTCAGCACGCTAGACCGGAAGTGATGCACCTGAAGTCCTCCTTGACATGTTTTGTCAGCCAAGCGTGCCGTCTTCAGAAACAGGAAGTCACAGTGCATGTCTCCAAAATATATACTCTGTGACAATAAGACCGCCCGTCTGAGACTCATGACCTGCCAAGGAGAGTAAAAAAAATAACGCTGGACCCTTAAAATTATCTCACTGGTACATCTATCTTAAAGTGTTAATACTGATGTAATTGATCTGGTTTTCGGACAGGCAACTTTTACACCCTAGAGCAGCAATGGGCAAACTACGGCCCGCGGGCCGTATACGGCCCGGCGGACCTTTTAATCCGGCCCGCGGAGCTAGGCTCCCCCGCTAGGCTCCTCTCACAGTCCGCCCTGAAGACCGGTGTAGCATGAAAATCTGTCTCCTATGAGGATCTGTCCCCCTCGACGTATCTGCGCATGTGATATTGCGCTCACAATTCCATCTGTGCATATACACAAAGAGATGTGTATTATTGAACACTAATGACCATATTTGTAAATCTTATGGAATCATTTAAATGAACAATATGCAATGAACAATATACATGAAACCGTGAAAGAATAATCTAATAAATGAAAATAAAAAATATATATGAATCTGTATAGTAATAATATCCCACAGTAACAGTGACTTTGTGCTGAAGAATCTTCAATTTATCAAATAAAACAATATATATGATTCTGTATAATAATAATGTCCCACACAAACAGTGAATTTGTGCTGATGAATCTTCAATATATATAAAAAAGGTGACTGCTTGTGCCTCCTCCCTTAAGTGAAGATATGCGCTCACCTCATGAATAGCCTGCAATTAGGCTATTAACGCTTGCGGTTCACCTCCTTTGGAACCTACTAGTTTTAGAAACTCCTGTGTGAAAGATATCCATAGACTGCGACATGTGATGTAAAAAAAGATCTCCTCTCATGGGGTGTCACTCCAGTATCTTCCCTGACTCC